CCACAGCCAGGGCATCCCCCGGGGCACGTCCAGCCTCAGCCCCCGGCCCCCCAGCCCCCCGCCCGCCCCGTGAGTCCCCCTCTGCTGGCACCTCTCGCCTGCTATTCTTGGCTCTCCAGCGCTGCGCTCTCCCGGCAATGGCACCGTATATTACTATTATTGCTGCCTGCCAACGTCTTGAAGCAGGCAGCCAGGATGGTGATGGGGCTTCCACACCCCTGGTGACCTGTCATTCGGTCCCTGCTGGGCTCTGGTCTTCAACAGGCTATTTCAGGAAATCCAATTTGATGGCCAGAAGGAGCACAAGCCACACATTCAGCCCCTGTGCTGGATCCAGGCTCCTCCTGTTTCTGCTCAGATCCAGATTTTAGCTTCGCCCGTGTTGGCAATAAGGGCCAAGAGTCACCTTTGGCTCCAGATCCAAATTTCTGGCTGGGTGGGATCCAGGGTTTCGGCTCAGCTTGCTGGAGAGATTCGAGCGTCTGCAAAACCTGGATCTGGAGCCCCAGCCCCCACCGCAGCAGCTCCACCTGGGCATGAGACCCCAGCACGGGGCCTGATGGTGCCTTTGAGGGTGGGCAGAGCTGGGGAGACCCACACCAGCACAGCCACCAGCTGCCCACACAGGCTCTGCATCCCACAGCTCCTGGCACAGCTCTGAGCTACTGATGGGGAGGCTGAAGGAAGGGCCCCCCCAAACACCCAGTCTGGGCTTCCCAGCACCCTCCACTCTTCTCATGCCTTGCCCAAGCTGCTGGGAGCCAGCAGGAGGACTGAGAGGGCTGGGGGCTGCTCCTCCAAGCCCACGTGGCACAAGCCTTGGCACTCAGGAGGGAGATTTGGGCACCAAGCTCAGCACCATCTCACCCAGCCTTGGCAGGGGGACAGCACGGTTTTGTCACCCCGTTCCCCAGAGCTGGGATGCCTGGATCTGGTCCTTATGCCCTGGCTCAGTGGGGTAACAACACCCAGGGCAGCCCCAAACTTGGCTCACATCAACAGCTCCCCACGTCAGTGCTCCCACCACCCCCACAGCCAAAAGGGGCCCCTCCAGGCTCAGATGTTCCACGGTCACTTTGATGGCTATTTTTGCATTCCCAGCCCTGCCAGCACTGTAATAATGCTTGAAAGGGCTGACAGGCTCCTTGCAGCCATGCCCATCTCCCATGGCCTTCCCTCTGCTCCATCCCTGCACAGACAGAGCCCTCAAGGGCTGGGAGCCATGGATGCATTCGGGGGAACAGTGGGAGCACAGGGGTGAGAAACTGAGAAAAACCAAACATTACATCCATTTCCTAAAGGAGAATCTGCACTGCTGAGCGGCTCCTGCTGCAATTTACACCAAGGAAGGCTGTCTGCTCCCAGCCTGGATTCCCACAGGGATAACCAACACCTCCAAGCCGGGCTTTGTCCCCTCTTCCTGGCCAGGTGACAGGCAGGGATCGGCTGTGGGCGGTGCAGCCCTGGACCCCTCGAGGGAGGTGACATGCGGGGCTGGATGTCACAGGACGGAGAGAGACCAGCAGGTCCCAGCACCAACTTGCTCTGCAGGTTTGGCACAGGACGGAGGGACCAGACCGACCCCTCCAAGCAAACCCAAGAGTCTGGAGGAAGGAAGGCAGCAGCAAGAGGAAGCACCTAGACAGGGACTCCAAAGCTCTGCTCGCCTGTCAGGCTGGCTTTGGAGCATGGCGCCTGGATGCGCTGTGATGGGCACAGCTCAGCTGCTTCCCCACGCCAGCTCCCGGCACCCGGCCGGGCACGGTCCTCACCGCCCCCGGGAAGGATGGGAGGGGGATCCCACCGGGTGGGGAGGGGTCCTGGGCCTGCCCCATCCCTCCGCAGCGAGAGAACGCAGGATGGCTGGCGTCGCCATCCGGGAGAGGCTGGAGGAGCTGCGGGCTGTGCCTCGGGCAGCAGGAGATGGGGATGCCCGCCGGCACCCCTTCTCTGCCACCCACCGGGGAATCCTGGCGGAGATGAGCGCCATGGTACCGGTGAGACGCCCCCGGCCATCCCCCCTCCTCCATCTCCCCGCTTCAGCCCCGGACACCCTCTCGGCGGGGCTGGATGGGTCCGCAGGTGACACGTCCCGTTCCCGCGGGGCTCCGCACCGGCTCCGCTGCTGAGAGCCCCCTCCGCACCGACCCCCGGACCGCTTCCCCCACCCCCGCCGGGCACCGCGGGTCTCGGGGACCGGCCCCGACTCTGCTCCGGGTACCCCCGGCACCGGGGCCGCCCCCGCCGCTCTTACCCCGCTGCCGCCTCCTACATCCTCCGGCGGCTCCCGGGCGGTTCCCCGACGGCCCCGCGCGGCCGCCCCCGGCCCGGCTGCTCCCGGCCCGGTTCGGTTGGGCTCGGCTGGTCCCGGCTCGGCCCGGGCCGGCGCCCCGCGGGCGGCAGCATGCGAGTGGCGGCGGCCCCGCAGTGCAGCGCGGGCGGGCGCGGAGCGGCGGGAGCGGAGCGGGGCCGCCGCGGCGCCGCCAAGACACGGCGGTGGATTTTCCCCGGGAGCCAAAGCGGGCGGCGGCGGCGCAAAATGGCTCCGGTGCGGCTCTGCCGCCGCCTCCCGGCGCCCCGGGACCCCCGGCGGGGGGAGCGGGGGCAGCCGCGCGTGGGGCCGGGGAGATGCTGCCGGAGCGGGCACTGCTGGGATGAGTGGTACCCACCCGTGGGCATCCCCTGGGGACCCTGCGGAACCAGACTGGCACAGAAACAAGGGGTACCCACCCGTGGGCATCCCCTGAGGCACCCTGCAGAGCCGGACTGGCACAGAGACAAGGGGTACCCACCCGTGGGCATCCCCTGGGGCACCCTGCGGAGCTGGACTGGCACAGAAACAAGGGGTACCCACCCGTGGGCATCCCCTGGGGCACCCTGAGAGCCGGACTGGCACAGAGACAAGGGGTACCCACCCGTGGGCATCCCCTGGGGCACCCTGCGGAGCCGGACTGCCACAGAGACAAGGGGTACCCACCCGTGGGCATCCCCTGGGGCACCCTGCAGAGCCGGACTGCCACAGAAACAAGGGGTACCCACCCGTGGGAAACCCCTCAGGGTCACCGCAGGGAGCCGAGGGCACTCCGGGACTGTCACCCACGCCTGTCCACGGGAACACTGCCCGCCAGGGAGGGGACGGAGTGCAGAGACAGTCCCGGGGTACTGAGATAGCCCTGGGCTGTCGGAACAGCCCCGGGGTGCCAGGACAGCCCCAGGGTGCCAGGACAGCCCCGGGGTGCCAGGACAGCCCCGGGCAGGGTGCAGCCCCAGAGGCTCAGCCTTCCCCCAGCAGACCCAGGGCCACCCGCTGCCGCCTGCCCGCTGAGCCACTCACACCACACCCTGTAATTTGATCGTAATTATAATAATAATAATTACAGCGTGCGCGGGCTGGAAGTGCAGGAACAATAACCTGGGTAACGCCCTGCACAGTGGCGGGAGCAGCGTGGTGGCACATGCCCCATCCTGGTGCCGAGCTGAGCCCAGAACACCCCACCAGGCCCTGCCCAGTGCGTGGGGGGGACATGGCCCAAACAAGTGCCCTCCGTGTGTCTCTAAGCAGTCGTGTCCATGTCCCAGTGCTGTGGTTCCAGTGCCCAGGCTTTGCCACTGAACAGGACACCCTGGCAGAGCCAGAGCCAGAGCTGGGGCTGCCCCCACTCCTGGTGTGCAGAGAGACCCCCAAAAGTCCTGGTGCGCCCAGGAGGAGATGTCCAGTCCCAGACCCCAGCAGGCCCTGCAGCATCCTGCATTGCTGACACGGCTGCTGCTGCTGCATGCGGGGAGCACAGCTCTGCCCCCTCCTCCAGCAGTTATATAAAAGGATTAAAATTTAATATGAACTTCAAAAGGGGAAGAACTGGGTGGTCGAAGGCAGCTGGCCTGGGGCCGGGTGTGGAGCAGAGGCGCCTTGGGACATGTCCCAGCTCTGCTGAGCAGCAGCACTGCGGCACATGGAGACTTCATCCAGCCCCATCCATGGGGGCAAAGTGTCCAGGCACCATGGGCAGCACGGGCATCCCATGAACCTGAACTGGCTTCACCGAGCCATGGTCTCCCTGGGTCACAGTGGTGCACAGTTTCCACGGCACATGGAGACCTCATTCCCTGGGGTCGGGCCTTATCCTGCACCTTCACCTCTCTGCTGGCATCCGGGCAGCTCTTACAGTTCACAGCATCACCCACCCATCCTGGTGCCCACTGCCACCCTGCCCATGCCATGCCAGCAGTCCCCCAGGCATCACATCTCCTTCTGCCTGGAGTCTCTAATTTCCTGCCGTGCACCAGTGTGCTGGAGAGCAGCCCTGTGCTGGAGAGCAGCCCTGTGCTGGGGGAGGACGACCCCCATGTGGGGGGCAGCTGATGCACCGCTGCCCCCCAGCATGCCCAGAACCCGCGTGGCTGCACAGCAGCCGCTCTGCTCGGTGCAGCGCTGGCAGCAGGAACGAGCCAGGGCTGGGAAAACACCCTTCGCATCTTCCGCCCACACAGCCGCTCCGCCGCCCCCGCCGCGCCGGGGCTCTCGGGGCTCTCGGGGCTCTCGGGGCTGACGGGGAGGGGGCGGCAGCTGCGGGCTGGGGGCTGCGGCCAGCACGGGGCAGGGGGCAGGGGGCAGGGGATGGGGCAGGGAACCGAGCAGGGCTGCGGGGTCAGCAGCCCCCGGTGCAAGAGCCGCCCTGGGACAGGGTCCTGCCGCGGGAGGGGGGCCGGGGCTGCAGGGGATGGGGCTGCCCCATACCCAACCCTCCCCGAGGGGCAGAGATCTCTCGGTGAGGGGCACAGGCACCCGGCAGCGAAGAAGCCTTTGGTTCATTCGTTTTTAATCCTGGCCAAGAGCAGGAGGGGCGCAGGCATGAATGAGGCTTAGGGACGTTGTAGGACAGGACTGGCCCCCTCAGCAGCCCAGCTCATGCCATGGGGGTCTTTGGTCATGCATGTTCCTGCAGGATGGAGACCTCCGGGAGATGACAGCAGCCGCCGAGCATCCCTCGCCATTCTGCCTTCCCACACCCCACTGTGGCTCAGCTCCCATTGCTGGGTGAGTCCCTCTCCCAGTGCCAGTGCCGCTCTCCCAGTGCCAGGGACTCTCTCCCAGCGCCAGGGACTCTCTCCCAGTGCCAGTGCCGCTCTCCCAGTGCCAGGGACTCTCTCCCAGTGCCAGGGACTCTCTCCCAGTGCCAGGGACTCTCTCCCAGTGCCAGTGCCCTCCCAGTGCCTGCAATGCGTGGGGCAGGATCTCTGCTTGATTCCCACTGCGGGCGCGTGGGAATGCACAGAGAGCAGAGCGGGGTGGGAGGAGGGGAGTGCACGAAGCCAGAGCTCCCCCCACGCTGCTCCCGATCCCTCACCTGGCAACAGGGACACGTCCCACCGGCACTGTGGCACCGGGGCAGGCGGGGGCAGGACCCTGGTGCCCGCCCCACTAGGAGGAGGTGAAGGAGGATGCTCGGGCGGCAGGAGCTGGCCCGGGAGGGGGCAGAGGGAAGCACCGGCCGATCTTGCGCAGGGTCCGCTGCAGGTCAGCGCGGAAACGCCGGATGGAGAAACAGTAGATGACGGGGTCCAGGCAGCTGTTGAGGCTGAGCAGGGCCACACTCAGCGTGTGCAGCACATCCAGGGTGTCAGGGGACCCGCAGAGCGGTGCAGCGGGCCGGCTACCCACCCACGGGGCCAGCGTCAGGTGGTAGGGGGCCACGCAGGCCACAAAGACCAGCAGCATCCCCAGCACCATGGCACGGGCCTGCTGCCGGTGGGAGCCCGGCGAGGCCGCGGCGGGCACCGAGAGCGCCCGGGCGATGGAGGCGTAGGTGCCCAGCACCACCAGGAAGGCGGCGGAGAAGAAACCCACCATGGCGTAGGCATAGCCCCGCTGCCGCCCGTGCTGCTCGAAGCAGGCGGTGGTCCCGGCGCGGGTGGCGAAGGTCTGGTGGGTGGCCAGGGTGGGCACGGCACAGCCCAGCCCCAGCAGCCAGGCCAGGGCACAGGCCAGCGCGGCGCTGCGGGGCCCCGTCAGCGGCAGCGGCCGCCGCGCCGCCCGCACCGCGCAGAACCGGTTGAAGCTGATGAGAGCCATGAAGGTGATGGCGCTGTAGGTCGCCAGGTAGTAGGCGGCCCCTGCCAGGCGACAGGCGGCCTCCGAGAGTAGCCAGTCCCCTCCAGCCAGGTAGTAGTGGATCCAGAGGGGAAGGGTGAGGTTGAAGAGGATGTCAGCCAGCGTGAGGTTGATGAGGTAGATGCGGATGGCCTTCCTCACCTTGCCACTCTGCAGGAAGACCAGCAATGCCACCAGGTTGCCCGGCAGCCCCACACAGAGCACCAGGCAGTAGGTGATGGGTACCAGCACAAACTGCACCGGGTTGTTGGGCACGCACTCGCCGGGGTGTGCCACGAGCAGCGGTCCCGGCACCGAGCCGTTCATCCCGGGCTCCTGCAAAGATGGGGAACAGGCAGTGACACAACCCTTGGGGACAGGGGAGGGATGTTGACCCAGACAGGACAACCTCTCTGGCTGGCACCTGCGGTGGAAGCAGAGCCCTGTGGGGAGGCCATCATCTGTTGGAAGGGCTCAGCTCACACAGGAGAGGAGGAGACCCCAACTCTGTCCCCCCACACCACAAGGGAGCCTAGAGGCCGCTGTTAACTGCCCAGCCAGAGCTTGCAGGGAGTGGCAGGGACAGCTGCAGCACAGCCAAGGGACAGAGCTGCAGCCAGAGCCACCCGAAGGTGCCACGCTGGCTCCAGTCAGCAGCTGCAGGGCTTAACACCTCCCACACAGCACGTGCCTGTGGGGCCACCCACCCCAGCCCCCTCCCAGCACCCCAAATTCCCCATGGAGCCAGGCATGAGGAAGTCACTGTCTGGCTCTCCAGAATGGAGAAACCCAGGTATGGACAGGGGGTACAAACACAGGGCCAGCATCCCCCCACGCCCCCCAGTCCTGCACAGAGGGGTTTGCCTCTGCCCCTGGCCATGGAAAAGCATGCTGTGCTGCAGAGGCTGTATCCAGGGCTGCAGTTACTTCACCTCCCATCACTGCCTGCCCACACCTCGCCAACGAAGGCACTGAGTCACCAGCTGGTGTTTTCCAGCACGGCAGGGCTGGATTCGGCACATGCAGCACCCAGTCCTGGGTTCAGGCACAGAGAGCAGGAGCTGCTGAGCCTGGGGACCTCCTTTAGACCCCAAAGGAACATCTGGATCCCTCAGTGGTCCCCTTTTCCCCCTCCTTCCCCATCGCAGGCACAGTGAATGCTCCATCTCACCCACACCACGACTGTTGCTTACCTTGTCGGGTCAGGCAGGAGCGGCTCCGTTCCCCTCTGGCTGCTTCTCTCTGATCCAGCCAGGCTGAGGACAGCTTTAAGTGCTGGGGGAGGCAGGGGCTGCCTGATCCCCACCCACCATCCCAAGCCCCCTGTTAGTTCCTGTGGGACAGCAGCTGGAGTGGGGAGAGCACCTGTGTGTGTATGTAATGGGGAATTCCCTGCTGGAGCCACCCTAAAATCCCCTGCGCCGGCTGAGGGGGCTGGGGGCATGTGGGAGTGGCCAGGACTGGCCTGGCTGACCCCCTCCCTGTGCCCCCAGCCACATCTAATACCATTTCCCAGGGCCCTTCTCCCACCCACGCCTGGATGAAAGCAGCAGAGGGTCAAGTTTCTGCACCCAGCAGCTGGGGAGTAGAGGGATGCCCCAAAGGGATCAAAGCAGGAATCTGCCTCCTCCTGGCTCTTTGTGCTTTTGTTGGCTTCAAAGCTGGTTTTAAGGGGAGCACCCTACAGGCTCCCCCACAAGATCTGTGAGCATCTGACTCGCTGCTTTGTGTGGCCAATTTGTGTGTGCTCTTTGAGACACCAAAGATGTCACCCCGAGGTGACACTCGAGGTCCCACCAGGGGTACAGACAGGGGTGTCTTACACCCCTTGCTCTTCCCAACAGCCAGACTCCCCACACAGCCAGCCCAGCCCCCTTGCTGGGAGACACTCCAGGTGAACTGTGGTTCGTCCCAAGCGTGCTGTGCCCATTGGGGTGGCAGAGGCTGGCTCCCTGTGGGAGCAAGATCCACAAAAAGCACATCCTGCCTGGGCACTCACTCCTGTTGCTCCCTGGGTGTACAGCAAGGGGCCTCCTGGCACAGTGGTGGGTGGATGTGGGTGGTTGAGGGATCCCACCCCAGATGGGCTCTCCCCACTGTCCATCTGCCTCTGTGCCAGCTCCTGCACCAGCTCCCACACGTCCCCAGGCCTTGTGTCTAGGCACTGTCCCCAGGGACTGGGTCCTCCAGCCCCAGGACATCCCTTAACTCCCAAGGCTCAGCGTAGGGGGAAGGCAGAAATAAACAGAGAGGCAAAATGTGAAAAACAAGAGGTTTTATTCCAAAATTTGAAAGCCCCCAAGACAGCAGAGCCAGCCCCTGCTTAGTGTGGCCAAACACTGGAAAGAGCCGGACACTTTGTGCCAGTTCAGCAGCGGAGCTGCCGGAGCGGTGCCACGGCAGCGTCACAGCGGTGCCACGGCCACCAAACCACAGCCCAGGTCCCACAGGGAGGGGACAACCAGCACCAGAATCACTGGCAGAGGCAGGAGAGGACACACTGTGTCTCATCAGCAAGCTACCCTGCAGGATGTGACGTTGTCCCTGAAAATTCCATGAAGGCGTTGCTCCCCAGCGGCTGAGCCGTCTGTCCTTCCCGCCTCTCGTCACTCGAACTTGGGCCGGGGGGCAGCTGGATACCCGCGGATGTTGAGCAGCAGGAGGAGGCCGAGGGAGAGGGTGGCCGGGGCACACATGGCCAGCGGCTCCTGCAGCGCCAGCAGCGTGTAGATGGCACCTGGGCATGGAGCAGAGCATAACAATGGGGGTCTCTGCACAAGGGTGTCCCAAGACCCCACGACGGGCAGTGGGTGCCCACTGGCTCTCACCGATCATGACGACGCTGAGGATGAAGTTGCTGATCTCTTGCAGCAGCTGGGGTCCAAATGCCAGCAGCAGCCCGGCCATCACCTCCACCCAGCCCACGGCTGCCAGGTACCTGCCCGGCTCTGGCACAAAGCCCAGGTCCTTCAGGGGAAACACCTTGGCGAACCGCACAAACTCTGATGCCTGGGAAGGGTGGGAGAGGGGTGAGGCAGCCCTGAGCCTGGGGCTGGGGAGATACAGCCCTTCAGTGTGTCTGCTCTGCCCTGCCCTGTCTTCCAAGGGGATCAGCTCTGCATCCGAAATAACTCAACCACACACCCTAAGGGGATCAGCCCTGCGCTTCATTGGACTCTGGCTGATTCACAACGAAGGGCTCAACCTTGTACCCAAAACGCTCCACCCTGAACCCCTGTAGTCCTGCTCAGTCTCACCCAAGGCTCAGCTCCACACTATAACAGGGGCATCCCTACACATTTCCCCTGGAGCTCAGCCCTGCACCCCAACCTGTTCCTTTCCTTTCCTTTCCCCTGGAGCCCAGCCCTGCACCCAAAGCGCTCTTTGGTCCTTGCACAGCCCCGATCCTGCTCACTCCCCCGGGCTCACCATGTGCCGGTGCAGGTCGGCGGAGAGCCAGTCCGAGACCTTCAGGACGCCCGTGAGGAAGAAGAAGAGCCCAAGCAGGACACGGAGGGCGGTGAAGGCCGCCGCCATGGCGGGACGGGCGGGCACAGGGGCGGAGCGGGGCGGAGTGGCCCGGCCCCGTTCCCGGCCCCGCTCCCGGCTCGGCTCCGTTCCCGGTCCGGCCCCGCTCCCAACCCACCCCGTTCCCAACCCGGCTCCGTTCCCGGTCCGGCCCCGCTCCCAACCCACCCCGTTCCCAACCCGGCTCCGTTCCCGGTCCGGCCCCGCTCCCAACCCACCCCGTTCCCAACCCGGCTCCGTTCCCGGTCCGGCCCCGCTCCCAACCCACCCCGTTCCCAACCCGGCTCCGTTCCCGGTCCGGCCCCGCTCCCAACCCGGCCCCGTTCCCAACCCGGCTCCGTTCCCGGTCCGGCCCCGTTCCCAACCCACCCCGTTCCCGGCCCGGCCCCGTTCCTAACCCGATCCCGCTCCCAGCCCGGCCCCGTTCCCAACCCGACCCCGTTCCCGGCCCCGTTCCTAACCCACCCCGTTCCCGGCCCGGCCCCGTTCCCAGCCCGCCCCCGTTGCCGCCGCAGCCCCGCAGGTTCAGGGAGCGCCTTGGGTGCTGCCGGGGCAGGGGGTGCTCAGCTGTGCAGTGTCACCCCCCAGGCTGTGACACGTCCCCGCCAGCCAGCAGCACCATCCTCCCACCGAAACACAGCTGGAGGAAAAAAGGAACCCCCCACCCCACAACAAAGCCCACAGCTGGGGGTGCTGCGATCCACGGCAGCACCGGCTGGCTTGGGGTGCGAGGAGCGGTGCCAGGCAGGGCACAGGCAGTGCTGGGCACAGGCAGTGCTGGGCACAGCTCCGGGAGCAGGCAGGAGCCGAGCGAGGATGCCCTGGCCCCAGGGAGGCCACTTTGCGGGGACGGAGGCGGCGGCCGCGCTGCCCCGGTCACCGCCCGCGCTGCTCCGGCACCGGCACCGGCCGAGCCCCGCAGGAACGGCAGCTCGGGATTGCCGAGAGCCAGGCCCAGGGGAGCCGAGGGCGCTGACGTTTGTGTAATTCAAGCGGAAATATTTTTTTAATGCCAATAAATCATGAGAGCTCGAAGCGTTTTCCAGGCACGGCCAGCCTGGACCTGCTCCGGCCCCAGCTCGGCCACCGCGCTGCAGGGCTGCCACATGCACTGCTGGACAGGGGCCAGCGGCAGTGACACTATTTTTACCCCTGCCACATGATTCTTCAGCTGCTCAACCTGATTTGGAGCTGGGGATGGAACACCATGCACTGACAGCAACAGGCCAGGGCAGGCGCCACGCCTTCACGGCCTGCAAAGCTCCTTGGTTAGAAACTAATTAAAAAATAAACATCAAAACCTGAAAAAATGAGTGCAGCAGCTCGGTGCACATGCAGGGCTATGGCACCAGGGTAGCAGTCACTGTTCCCAGGATATAGTTCAAGCCTATCTGCTCTCAGTCTCTAATCACTAATTGATTATAGAAGCTACTTAATGAACTGTTTGGTAGAACAAGGTGTCACCTCACCAGAGGACACCCCAGGTGACAGTAACAGCCAACAGCAGCATCAGGGAAAAGCCATCCCTACAGGACACAGGCTGCAGTTTGCTCACAGCAGGAGCTGAGGAGATGCAGTTCCCCACATGGAATGCTGCAACACTTTCTCACAGGAAGCAGCCAGTGCTGCAACAGTGGAAATGAGGACAAGTTACTGGAAAATAACAGAATCTGAAGAAAAGACTGCACAAGCTGCAGTAGCTGTGGAGATAAGGACATCGAACCCCAGTCCCTGCAGGGCAGCTATTGATGAGCCACAAACCTCACTGAAGCCTTTCCAGGATCCAGACAATACCACAAAGTCA